ACTATGGAAAGTGTTTGGACGACCTACATTTTTTAGTTCCACCAGGTCTAACTTTCACGGCTAGAACCCGCCATGCCACTTCCATAGATGCAAACCACCTACATTACCTCCGTATTCCACCAGTAAGAAGTAAGTTCTACTCAAACAGCTTCTTCCAGCGTACTACTGCCCTGTGGAACAGACTTCCAGATCCATTCCATCACCGCCGATTGAACCTCGATCTACTGCCAGTCTCGATAAACGTATGTCCCCTCGAGGAGACACCGTGTCATGAGAAGATATTGAACCTCAAACTCACACTCGACTTCAACTACATACAATCCATCGATAAAGATGCAGTTAAAACGACCGGCTCCCTCTACGGCTCAAGTAAGTAGCTGATTCCTTATGTTATCCCCCGAACTTCATAACAGCTAGCTCAGGCCGAAAATGGAGTCAGTCAGTTACGTGCCACACGTGATACACGCTTAGGCGATCATGAATCTTTCGATACATGACTGGCGAGCCAATTTTTTTTTTCCCCGAAGCAGTTTGCCATCTCTTTCTGCGATAGACCAGTTGCCATCCAAGGCTATAGAACCCGGTCTGTACTGCTATTTACCCATAGCTAGTGGAAGTAGAAGAGTATTCATACTTTCCAAAAGATATTAGCACGTAAGTGAATTTCAGTCAGTTATGTGGCATGCGTGATACACGCTTAGGCGATCGTGAATCTTTCGATACATGACTAACAAGGCAGATTTTTTCTCCCGCAGCAGGTTGCCATTTCTTTCTGCGGTAGACCACTTGCCATCCAAGACTATAGAACCCAAACTGTCTTGAGAGGAGAAGAAAAGGATTCATACCGTTCCCAAGGGTCAGTCATTTATGTGCTATGCGGGATACGCGCTTAGGCGATCAGGTATCTTTTGATACATGACTGACGAGGCAGATTTTTTTCCCCGCAGTAGAATGCCATTTCTTTCTGCGGTAGACCAGTTGCCATCTAAGGCTATAAAACCCGGTCTGTCCTGCTACTTACCCATAGCTTAAGTGAAGATGAGGATTCATACCTTTACAAAAGGTATTAGCACGTAAGTGAATGTAATGGATTCGACTGGAACTCGAACTCGGCCCTCCGATTCGTCAATCCGAGCTGCTATCCATTACTCCACCGTGCCTGGAGTACTGCTGTCATATTTGGGCAGAAGCTGTCCAGTCTTTACTTCGCAGTCTTGATAGAATTCAAAAGCGTCTCCGTGTTCTTGTTGGAGAAGAATTATTTTTCAGCCTCCAACCTCTCTCTTAAAGGTGCTATGTGGTGGCAAGACATATCTAAAGAAATCTCTTTGGTAAAACGATCAGCTCCCTGTACCGCTCTAGTAAGTACCTGATTCCACATGATATCCTCTACCTTTATAAGAGGCAGACCAGGCCGAAAATGGAGTACTGTTGCCATGTATGGAGAGGAACTGACCGGTACTCGCTTTCCGGTCTTGACGTCATACATGACCACGCGAGAGTGATAAACGAGAAGTATTAAGTATGGGAAGCTGTTGTTATAAACCAATGGCTTCTGTTGTAAATTATAGGCATTTAAGAATATTTGTGGAGATTTCATAATTAATTTTGTTCAGGTTAGGTTTCAACTGTTTTATGTATATTGCTTCAAGGACTTTTAGTCTTTGTTTATTGTTTTCATGTTTAAGTATAGTTGTATTTTCAACAAGGATTTTCCAGAATTGCGTATGCGGCCAGGTATGTTGTTTTAAATGCCTGAAAATGCTAGTGTTATCATTTAAATGTAGAGTCAAACGTCGTGAAAGCGAGTTTGTGGTGTGTGTGAGAGAGAGAGAAATAGAGAGAAAAAATTGACAAATATATTCTCGTATATAGATAGGTAGATATATATGTAGAGAGAGAGAGAGAGAGAGAGAGAGAGAAATACATGTGTATATATAAAGTGATATGATAAAGAGAGAAATATAGTCAGAGGGAGTGGGGGGAATAGAGAGAGGTTGAGAAAGACAAAACAGAGATAGAAATAGATAGATAGATAGATAGATAGATTACGATTACGATTATCTAATATATGTATTAAATGAAGGTTGCATGGAGGGAAATTGAGATTTAAGCAAAAGAGCGGTCAATGATTGTGAAGATGTATAGCGAGAAAGAAAAACACAAAAATTCATATATATATATATATATATATATTTGTCATCCACGGACAGATATTTTCGCTGTATCACAGCTCATCAACGTGGCTAGGCATCCAGCTAGGATCGAAACCCTCACTAGAATTAGCGTCAGTTGGGGATTCTACCACTAAGCAGTTGGCGCACGGCAGGGATGACGGTGAAATTAAGCGTATTTATTTTTAGATAAACACACAGTGACTGAGAGAACTCAATTCGCTTTACCGAAGAGTCTTGCATTATTAGCCGTAATAGTCACTGTTTACAAACCCACATTTCCTCCCCAGAGCGCTCAACCGAAATAAATTCTAGTTCAATACCTGGTTAAAGCAGTGGAGAACTTGGAGAGGGGAATTAACAGGAGATAACTGATAACTGGCATCCATTAGATATGGCACGTGGAACTAGAACAGTCTACCCCAGCGAGCGAAATAAATGGTTCAGTTCGACATTCCAACCACCTGAAGAAGGCCGGATCATACAACGGCCGAAACGCTGTGATGGCGACAAAAATGAGGACAATAGTCCTAATAATGTAAATAGTCTACATAACACGTCATCTCAGAAATATAGCCTGATATTAGATAGATATATGCTTATGTGAAACCTTGTCAAAGCCTTTGACATATCTAAAGAAATTTCTCTGGTAAAATAATCAGTTCCCTGTACCGCTCCAGTAAGTACCTGACTCCTCACGATATCCTCTACCTTTATAAGAGCCAGATCAGGCCGAAAATGAAGTATTGCTGCTTCCCGTTCTTACTGTCCAGTCTTGACAGAGCTCAAAAGCGTCCCCGAATCCTTGTTGGGAAAGAATTATATTCCACCCTCCAACCTCTTTCTCACAAGCGAGATATGGTGAACCACTCCTTGCTCGATTGCTACTTCTACGGAAAGAGCTTGGACGAATTACATTCTTTGATTCCGTCAGGCCTAATCTTCCCGCTTAAGAACCGCCATGACACTTACATAGTAGCAAATCACCTACCTTCTCTCCGTATTCCATAGGCGAGAAGTTAGTTCCACACAGACAACTTTTTTGTTTTTCCCGCGAACCACTGCCCAGTGTTTCTCTGATCACTACAATCTTAATCTGTTCAATGTCTAGAGTTAACCGTGATCTTCCCTCTCCTATTCTTATAAACTATTCCTTAACGTAACCTTACTGTTAAAAAAAAGAAAAAAAGGGAAAAAAAACAACTAAAAGGTTTTATTGAAAACGATAAAGATGAAGACAAAAGCCGGAAATTTGTTTGGATCAATGGTGGTGAGGAATTTTAGATTGAGATATAAAAAAAAAAATATAAAAAAATATCGGTTTTTAGATTTCTTCAAATTTCTTCTGTTGCGTATCGGTTGCAGATTTCACCTTTTGACCCGATGGCAGAACTTCCGTGTTCTAGGATTCGACTGTCTTTAACGACAATGAAAGAAAGATTATCTGGAATGTCGTGTTGAGCCAAACTATTAGTCTCTTTCACGATATCAGGTCATCCATCGTCTTCTGTTCAATTTTTTTTTTTCGGGAGGGGGGTGATTTTTTTCGACGTCTTTTAATATTGTGTCACCGATTGAATCCTTTTTAAATGACTTTTTAGTTGTAATTGTTGTTTCTCTCTCTCTCTCTCTCTCTCTCTCTCTCTCTCTCTCTCTCTCTCTCTCTCTCTCTCGCGCATTTTTCCCCAGAATTTTCCCAGTTTGTGATTATAGTTTGGGCAGCGTCTGACCCGGGTCGGAACATCGGTGATAGATTGTAAAATCGATAAACTTGTTGGCGATGAAAAGAAAGAAAAAAAAATAATACGAGAGACAAAAATGAGAAGATCTGATGCAAGGAAAGAAAGAAAAAGGAAACATAATGAATAAATAGCGAATGACAAAACTATTGAAGAAAAAAAAAAAGGTCTACGAATAAAAGTCAGGAAATTAATGGGTAACGGAAAGGAAAGGGAAAACGAATAAGAATGTTAAAGAGTGGAGAGAAGAGTCAAAAAGAAAGAAAGAAAGAAAGAAAGAAAGAAAGAAAGAAAGAAAGAAAGAAAAGGGAGTGACAAAAATCCGGGAAAAAAAGATAGATATAAAAATAAGAAAGAAAGAAAAATGAAAGAATTGTTGAGGAGTGAAAAAAAGAAAGAAAGAAAGAATTTCAAGGAAGTAACAGAAATCGGGAAAAAAGAAGGAAATTGTAAAAATATTAAAGAAAGAAAGAAAGAAAGAAAGAAAGAAAGAAAGAAAGAAAGAAAGAAAGAAAGAAAGAAAGAAAAGATTAAATAAAGTTAACAGAAAGATGGTAACATGAAAGAAAGAAAGAAAGAAGAAAGGAAAAAACGAAAGAAAAGATTAAAGAAAGAAAAAAAGATAAAAGAAAGAAAGAAAAAAGAAAGAAAGAAAGAAAGAAAGAAAGAAAGAAAAGAAGAAAGAATTTCAAGGGTGTGACAGAAATCGGTAAAAAAAAGGAAATTGTTGTAAAAATATTAAAAAAAGAAAGAAAAAGAAAGAAAGAAAGAAAAGATTAAATAAAGTTAACAGAGAGAAGGTAACATAAAAGAAAGAAAGAAAGGAAAGAACGAAAGAAAAGATTAAAGAAAGAAGATAAGATAAAAGAAAGAAAGAAAGAAAGAAAGAAAGAAAGAAAGAAAGAATTAAAAGGGAGTGACACAAATCCGGGGAAAAAAGATAGATATAAAAATAAGAAAGAAAGAAAAATGAAAGAATTGTTGAGCAGTGAAAAAAAGAAAGAAAGAAAGAATTTCAAGGAAGTGACAGAAATCGGGAAAAAAGAAGGAAATTGTAAAAATATTAAAGAAAGAAAGAAAGAAAAGATTAAATAAAGTTAACAGAAAGAAGGTAAAATGAAAGAAAGAAAGAAAGAAAGGAAGAAGAAAGGAAAGAACGAAAGAAAAGATTAAAGAAAGAAGATAAGATAAAAGAAAGAAAGAAAGAAAGAAAGAAAAGAAGAAAGAATTTCAAGAGTGTGACAGAAATCGGTAAAAAGAAGGAAATTGTTGTAAAAATATTAAAAAAAAGAAAGAAAAAGAAAGAAAGAAAGAAAAGATTAAATAAAGTTAACAGAGAGAAGGTAACATAAAAGAAAGAAAGAAAGAAAGAAAGAAAGAATTTCAAGGGGGTGACAGAAATCGGGAAAAAAGAAGGAAATTGTTGTAAAAATATTAAAGAAAGAAAGAAAGAAAGAAGCAATACAAAAACAAAAGAAAGAAAGAAAGAAAGAATTATGGCGGAATGACAGAAATTGAGAAAAAAGGTGAACCTAAAAGAAAAAAGAAGGAAAGAAAAGAAAGTATTATAGGGAAATGAGAGAAATCGATAAAAAGATGGAAAATCTAAAAGAAAAGAGAAATTATAAAAAGAAAGAAAGAAAGAAAGAAAGAAAGAAAGAAAGCTAGTTTAAGAAAAATATTTTTAATAAGAAAAAATGGTTTAAAGATAAATATTTTTTAATAAGAAAGAAAGAAAGAAAGAAAGAAATGAAAAAAAAGAAAGAAAGAAAGAGAGAAAGAAAGAAAGAATTTCAAAGGCAGTGGCCGAAATCGTAAAAACGAGGGTAAATATCAAAATAAGAAAGAAAGAAATATAAAACAATTGTTGAGGAGTGAAAGAAAGAAAGAAAGAAAGAAAGAAAGAAAGAAAGAAAGAAAGAAAGAAAAAAAGAATTGTTGGGGGTGACAAAAATCGGAAAAAAGAAGGAAACTGTTGTAATAATGTTAAAGAAAGAAAGAAAAAAGAAAGAAAGAATTGTTGGGCAGTGACAGAAATTGAGAAAAAAGGGGGTGAATCAAAAAGAAAAAAAGAAAGAAACAAATTATACAAAAAATAAAGTATTGTAAGGAAATGAGAGAAATCGAGAAAAGGGTGGAAAATCTTGAAAAAATTAGAAAATATACAAAGAAAGAAAGAAAGAAAGAAAGAAAGAAAGAAAGAAAGAAAGGAGGAGGAGTCGGGAAGTGACAGAAATCGAGAAAAAACGAAGGAAATTATATAAAAAATATTAAAGAAAGAAGGAAAGAAAGAAAAAAGATCAAACATTAATAAAGACCAAAATGAAGCAATGATTGTACCAAAGACAGAAAAAAAATTACGAAAGAATGCTATTAAATACACAACAGCCTCAAAGAATGATAAAACAGAAGAAAGAAAGAAGGAAAAAAAGAAAAAAAAGAAAGAAAGAGCGAAAGACAATAACAGAAGGAGTGAAATCGATAAAAAAGGAAATTGCTGCAAAAATGAGAAAGAAAAAAAAGAAAGAATAAAGAAAGAAAGAAAGAAAGAAAGAAATGAAAGAATACCAAAAAGAATGAAAAAAGAAAGAAAGAATTCAAGAAAGTAAAAAAGAAACCTCTTAGATACACTGATGAAAAATAAAGAAAGGGTAAAGAATGATAATACAAAAAATTTTAAAAAAGTACAAAATAAAGTTGAAAACAAATGAAAGCTGGCTAATATAAAAGCGAAACATAGGAAAGAATTGAAAAAGAAAAAAAACAAGAAATTACATAAGGAATAAGAAAGAATTTCTGTAGAGTTAAAGAAAAAAGAAATGAAGTAAATAGTTGTAGAATAAGAAAGAAGAACTGGAGCCAAAAAATTGGGAAGAAAGCAAATCAAAGCGACGAATAAGCGGCTTGAATAAACAAGAAGACGAGGTGAAAATTCTCCAAATAGTCGAAAAACGAACGCAACAAACGCCTAAATGAAGGCGCGAAATTCGCAATTCACCAGAATTCTTTTTTGTTGTTGTTGTTGTTTTTATGTATAACGCTGACAGTTTTTCGTTTAGCAGATCGAAGAAAAGTCTTCTGCTTCGTCGCCTGATGTCCGACGCACAAATAAAACGTGGACAAATCTGCTTTACGAACTTTCGACATTACTTTCAGCTGGTCCCTTTTTTTCTGATTTCTGGCTGCCTTTCGATTTGGCTGTCGGATTCCGATTAAGAAATAACTTTTATTTATGGATTCCTCGAAACCTTTCTTATTCCAACGTTTCTAAAGGATGTCCTTTTATATCTATCTATCTAGCTAGCTACCCTCGATTTGTTTTGGGGCAGTTCAATATATCAGCTCAGTCTGTTCATATCTATCTATCTATCTATCTATCTATCTATCTATCTATCTATCTATCTATCTATGTATCCCAGTCTGTTCAGGTCGAACTGTTTCAGTCTGTTCAGATCTATCTATCTATCTATCTATCTATCTATCTATCTATCTATCTATCTATCTATCTATCTCAGTCTGTTCACATGTATCTCTCCATCTATTTATTTTATACTGTTCATATCAATCTATTTATCTATTTTGCTCTATTCTATTTCGCTATGTCTGTCTGTCTGTCTCTCTTTCTCTCTATCTATCTCTCTCTCTTTCTTTCTCTCTCTCTCTCTCTCTTTTCTTCTCTATCTGACATAGCCTGACGATTGCGTTTTGCACGAAACAGACTGTCGCCTCTCGGTGCTGATTAAAATGTCCACTTTTATATATATATATATATATATATATATATATATATATATTTTTTACTATCTCTCTATTCTCATTCTTTATTTTCCTCTGCATACCTAACTTTATGTCCTTCTCGTTATATATAACTATCTTTCTTCCTTTGATTTCTTTAACTCTATCTATCTATCTATCTATCTATCTATTTCTATCTTTGTTTTTCTTTCTCAAACTCTCTCTATTCCCCCACTCCCTCTGACTATATTTCTCTCTTTATCATATCACTATATATACACGTGTATTTCTCTCTCTCTCTTTCTCTCTTTCTCTCTCTCTCTCTACATATATATCTACCTATCTATATACTAGTATATATTTGTCAATTTTTTCTCTCTATTTCTCTCTCTCTCTCTCTCTCTCACACACACACACACCACAAACTCGCTTTCACGACGCTTGACTCTACATTTAAATGATAACACTAGCATTTTTAGGCATTTAAAACAACATGCCTGGCCGCATACACAATTCTGGAAAATCCTTGTTGAAAATACAACTATACTTAAACATGAAAACTAAAAATTCTTGAAGCTATATACATAAAACAGTTGAAACTTAACCTAAACAAAATAAACTATGAAATCTCCACAAATATTCTTAAATGCCTATAATTGACAACAGAAGCCATTGGTTTATACCAAGGGCTCCCCATTCTTAATACTTCTCGTTTATCACTCTCGCGTAGTCATGTATGACGTCACGAGCTGCGACCTGCTTTTCGCTTCCGCGTCTCGTATATTTTTTATGCAGCAAGGGCAGACTATCATTGTTGTTTCGTCCGTGTGTTGTTTGATTTATTGAAATTGTCATCTATGATAATGTAAGCCGAAAGCTTAGATTGGATTTAAACATGTGGTGTTATCCTTTCGTCTTTCAACAATAATGTGGTTAAGATTATCAGACAATATGAAAGGAACTTACTTAAAATAAATAGACAAAACTTGTCTATATTATTTAATGAAACATGTATTAACATATATATATATATATATATATATATATAGGGTGATATATATATATATATATATATATATATATATATATATATATATATAGGGTGATTGAAAGGTAATTCCCTATTTTATGTATGAGCGACCTGACTTTCTTTTGGGTTGGTTAAAGGGGCAAGTCTACTATTCCAAACGTTTTGAAGAACTTGAAGGCCGAATACAAGAAGTTATGTCTTCCATACCACAAGAATTCCTGGTGAAATAATTGGACGCGATTCCTGGGTGGCTTGAGAAGCTGATAGCAAAATCTGTTGCCCATATTGAATATTAAAAAAAATCTCATGCTAAACACTTTCGTCTCATATCTATTTCTGGTTAAAACTATAGTTAATGAATAAATTATAAGTATTTTTAAATAGGAAGTTACTTTTCAATCTCTCTCTCTCTCTCTCTCTCTCTCTCTCTCTCTTCTATCTATCTATCTATCTATATATATATATAAATATATATATATAGATAGATAGATAGATAGATAGACGCATACTTAGGAACAGAAATATATATATAGAGAGAGAGATAGATAGAGAGAGAGATAGATAGATAGATAGATAGATAGATAGATAGATAGATAGACATAGATATGAAAGGTTGATGCATGTATACATACACACACATATTCATATATATATATATATATATATATATATATATATATATATATATATATATATATATATATAGATAGATAGATAGATAGATAGGTAGGGAGGGAGGTAGATAGATATATTAGTTCAGTTTACTTTTTTGACAGGTTGATTTTTTTAGCTTTCACAGTTAAATTCTATTTCCCGCCTCTCCTAACTTTATAGGCACGAACTCAGTCCACATCGTGGTTGATAAGACAGACGACTGATATCTTCGTCTGTCGAATTATGTCGTGTCGTTAAGTCCAAAACGGGAGATTTTATCAAATTATTGTCGTTATTATCGAATTAACCTATTTTCGAATTAACCTATTATCGAATTAACCAATGTACATTTATACGTAATTGTAACAATTTGGGAAATTTCTAATAGATACTGAGCGTGGGTCCTTCACTACAAATCAACAAATAAAGTCGTCAATAAATATTTTTCTTTTTGAAAACTTAATTTGAAATTAGCTAATCTGTTTTTGCCCTATATAAATATGTATTGGTAGTCATTTTACTATAAAAATGTATTGGTGGTCATTTTAATCTAAATATTTATTGTTGGTCATTTTACTATAAAATATATCGTTGGTCATTTTACCATAAAAATATATTGTTGGTCATTTTACTACAAAAATATATTGTTGGTCATTTTGATATAAAATGCATTGTTGTTTTTTTTTACTATAAAAATGTACTGCTGGTCATTTTACTATAAAAATGTATTGTACATTATTTGGACTATTGTCCTCATCTTTGTCGCCATATTTATTAAACGAATTCGGCCGTTGTACGCTCCGGCCTTCTTCAGGTGGTTGGAATGTTGAACTGAACCCTTTATTTCGCTCACTGGGGTAGACTGTTCTAGTACCACATGCCATGTTTAATGGATGTCAGTTATCAGTTATCTCCTGCTAATTCCCCTCTGAAAGTTTTCCACTGCCTTAACCGGGTATTGAACTCACACTCCTGTCACTGGATCTAACTAAGAACTTTATCCACTGTGCCATGTGTCCTTGACATAAAAATATGTTGTTGATCATTTAACCATAAATATGTATTGCTGGTAATCATTTTTATATAAAAATGTATTGCTGGTATTTTTCCATAGTCTTTTGTTTTTGTTTGGTGTTCGCTCTTTGACCCTAGCTGTGACCGTTACAAGTGCTACCACACCGAGTCAGGCTGAACCTGGCAACAACAGCATTTAGAAGGTCGTTCCATACTCCTCACAAACTCCAATCTCCCGATCAGAGGCCTTGCTGCCGGATGTAGTTTATCATCATACCCAGGACAATCTCACCAATGGAATACAGAGGGAATGAGAGTGGTTCACTACAATGCGTGTAGTATGGCGGGTCCTGGCCGTGAAGGTCAGAATTGGTGGAATTAAGAAAACATGGATTGACAGCAGTCTTTTGAAATCCGCATTTGACTTTAGAAGCTGAAGTCAGGAGTGCAGATTCGGTTGCATGTGTGACAAGAAATATCGACTGTTAGCGGCAAGAGTGAACGCCTTCCCGTGACTTTCTTGTTAGGCCTTGAAGAGCTGAATGCGCCAGTTCTTTTTAATGTGAGTTTGCTGTCTGGGAGCATTGACTGTGCACGGCTGTAATGAGTTCGAGGTCACGGTTCAGGACAGAGCACTCATCTGTCCAAGCGTCGGCTACGTGTGCAGGTTGCAACTGCAACTTAGCTGTCATTGCCATCTGTTGATGCGTTATTCTGTCATCGCCGTAGAGATGAAAAGACAGAAAGGAAAAAAAAGATGAAGATGCCCAAGTAAAGGATAGCGGGAAAAGCTTTAACAGGAAGACAGTCCCAGACGTTTTCGACCTCGGTGTGTGTGTGTGGGGGGGGTGCATGTATTGACGCAGACAGTCCATAAGACAACAGAAAAAAAACATTAAATACTTAAAAATTTATACAACGGCGAGTAGAAAAAAATAAACTATCTAGCCCCCAAAATGAATCTGCTTAATTTTCACTAAGAATATTTAAATATGGTTCTTTCAGCTGTAGTGCTAGACAATCTTCTCAAAGATGAAGAAGAGACTTCAAGCAACAGAAATGTGGTTCTACAGAAGCCTGCTGAGGATACTAAAGACAGAATATGTGAACAACGACGAATTTTTAGAGAATAATTCAAACAAAAAGGAAGCTTTTCCTTAACATCAGGAAGAGACAGTTGAAATTTCGAGGGCACATAATGAGGAAAGAGTGCTTGGAAAATCTAATACACACAGGACAGATTAAAGTCAAGTGAGATAGAGGAAAACAGCGCATAACATGAGCTTGGGAAAATGGGTGGCCGAACAGGGTTTTGGAGAAATAGCAGAAAGACAAAATTTATTAAGAACTACAAAGGAGAGGAAGTTGTGGAGAGCCACGCTCGCCTACGTCGTGAGAGGAATATGTAGTCATTCAGAGCTGTAATTCAAGTTGCCGTATTCATATGGAACAAGTAAAACGATGGATATGGACCTGAATGCATCTCGATACTGAAAACTTACCTGAGGAAACAGAATTAAATGCTTTTATTGCAGGAAGAAAAAACTAAAATTGCCCAAAATAAACTTATTTCTCGAACATTCAGACAGGTAAATGTTGTTAATACTATTTATCATAAACAGGGCATTTATTTAAATATTTGTATCTATAAAAAGAACGTATAAACATAAAAAATGTCTTAAAAATAATTGTCGGACTTTTCATAATGTGTGAC